CGCTTTTTATGGGAGGAATTATCACGCAAGTGTGTTTCGCAACTTGAAACATAGATAATGAAATGCCAAGTATGGGGATCAGTTCTAGATTGGTTTCAGATGAAAACACCTTGAAAATGGCAATGAGAAAACCTCCTAATTTTTTTCTGAATTGGCTCTATTAAAACTAGGTAGAAATCAACAGGTGTCAGACTATTACTTGATAAACTATTCACGAAACAAGGCGGTCATGATGTTGATTGCAACAAAATATCTAATTGCGGACTGTCAAGATTAATTAGGGTGAAAATGTACAGTATGTGTTCTGTGATAAAATAAAAAACGTATTAAATACTATTTCAACAGTGAAAGTATTTTGTTAAATTTAGATCGCATAGCCTGAAACGACATGATTTTTGAGGTTCTGTTTAATTTTTCTAATTTTAGGTGTATACAGATAGAGCTTCAATATATATGAATAAAGTGCTTATGGTGTGGCATGGAAGCTCCTCGTGTAAGTTTCAAATCATCATATTTTAGAAATTCTGTTAACGCCTGTTCTGGCATATAATGCATAATGTCAAATGGTTAAAACATGACGAGGGACGCTTGGTGGCTTAGTGTGCTACAGGTTGTGCATCCAAAAGATCTGTCGACTGTTGAACATGGAAAACATGTACTACTTCCCTGACAAAATTACATTACACACTACATGTTGTTGTATGTTCTCATTAGCCCTATCAGATGCAGAAACGAAAAACGTAAAACGTCACCTTATTCCATGTTTTCAATCCAGGTTATGACAACTCGGTATCGCTTGAAAAGTACACTTTTAGGGAACTCTGAATTAAGACTGGATGGTATTCCATTCTTAAATACATTTTTTCTCGATCCTTTAATCTTTAGTGTAGGTTATTATCCGATACACCTCCACTTTTTGTGATACACCTACACTTTTCTGATACACCTACACTTTTTGCGAATTTGTTCCGCTGAGTATCGGAAAAGTCCAGGTTGCCCTAGAAATGGTGGGATGCAATAAAAATAACAGTTCATGATTTTATTACAAGTTATCGTTGAAAGATTCTCTTTTGCTTCTATTTTCTGAAAAACACAAAATGTATTTACATAGTATAAATTTGCATAATTTCATAAAGTTTCAAATAATTTTCTTTAAGATTTATCTAAATATTATCAATATTTAGTTCTCGAAAAAGTTATACTATTATATAAACAGATGTATGGACCGTAGTTACATTAGTTATAACATCAATCCAGTACATGTATGTAATCAACATAAAATTGCGAATAGAAGCATTCATCTGATATAAATAAAGTGATAGATAACAATATGATAATTGTTTAGGATAAAGTACGAGTTTATCTACAAATTTTGTAGAAGTGATATTTAACACGACAGGGTTTATATAATAATTAGTAATTTATATATTTTTAAATGGAAATTAAAAGTTGTTTAGCAGTCGATGAACATAATTAGTAAAATCTAATGTAATGTAAATGTACATATATGGCACATATTTATATCCGTTTTACAAACACGCTTGAAATGAAACGTATCTTCAACTTGTATTTTACACAATGAAGTGAACTATATCTATATTGTAAGTCAATGTTCTTTGTGAACATTCTAGAATGATAAGTACTAGCAAGTTTCGGTGTTTGGAAATTATTTTGTTGAAACGTGGCTGAAGAACACTGATGTGTTGGCGACAGCTAGTTGTTTCCTTGTTATGGCAACAGATCTGTGATGTGAAGGTTCGTTACTATTTTGGTTTCAATCCATTTCAGGTTAGAAAGGGTAAATCGTCTGGTAATTTACCTACCCACTATAGCACTGCCACAATAGGAGTGTTCCGGGGTCATGGCCTGTATGACCCTACAGATCCTCCTACTCACAGATGAAGAACAGAAGAAGCGGCGCGCGCCAACAGATGAAGAGGAACAGATGAAGAACAGATGAAGAGGAACAGATGAAGATGTAGGGCGAATCCTCCACCCATTTTTGGTAAGTTGGTCTTACACACATTTTAGACTGTTTGTAGCTCATTTAGTCACAGTTTTGGAATCTTGGCGTAAATGTTACAAATCTAACAAATGGTACTAAATGGAATCCTTAAAATATTGTTTAGCAAGATCTCAAATTTCAAACATTGTGAGGACTGTACTTCATTCTTTAGAGTGTTGGAATCTTGACTTCATTGGTTTTCCCTCAAACAAATGATGGCTGTATTTTAAAATGGAAAAAACAATACTGATGATTTTTAAGACTTGATTCTTGTCAACCTTTCTGTAAATATGAATAGACAGTGAGGTTTGACCAAGGACCAGTAAGTTGACAAGAACCTGAGTTGTTATTCTTGAAAAAATAGTCTTGACTTTTGTATTTTCACAAAGATCTATCACAGCGAGACAACTGTTTCTGTCTGATTTTCACAAAACTTGAACAGGTTGGATTTGATGGTTTTGAGGATTTGTATAGGTAGATTCTTGATGCCTTTGACAGGTTTGAGGTTCGATCGATGAATATGTTAGGCCTATCGTATTGAGCAAGTCGTTGTGATTACTGTGACAGCTTGGTTGAATCTCCAGTCGCTCAGTGGCATAGCCACCTTCAATGCCCATGTAGTCAGTCTTTTCCCTATTTGTACTTTGGGAGGCTGGCACAGTCACTGTAACTCCTAATTAGCTAAGTTGCTAAACTCTCACTTCTGTTTACTACGGCTTCGTGCAGTTTTAGATTAAAAAGTATGAATTAATTAAATGAAAATTGGGGAATATTTGTATACAACAATAAACAATGCATTCTTTTAAAAAAAAGTTAAATTCAAACGAACAGAAACTTTGACAGTTATCATGAATTAGAAATGAAATGAAATGAAGTGTGAATGGAGTTTTACGTCCTACTTTTCATCACATGTCATGAATAAGAGATATGTACTTGTAATTATAATTGTGAGCGGCGAGTGATGACCTCTTCCAATCTAAAACTAGTGCAGTTGAAGAAAAATATTCATCTCTTATTACCAACTTTATCGGAATTCTATTTTAGATTTCTATGTATTTTTGTATGAGGTCAATTCTGAAAATTCGTTCAGACCATTACACCCACCGGTTTCGAAGGTCAAGAGTGACTTAAATAACCGTATACAAGAGATGAATTAACTGTGATCTGAAGCATTGTGGTTAGACTGTGTATGCTAGTAAAGGGAGATAATTACTCTTCTGCTTAGGAGACTCATTCAGTTTCTTCTGATTTAAAAAAAAAAATAGAACTTTTCTTGGAATTTACTGTTTTATTTCTCTCTCCACAGGTAAATAATCGGTGTTATTTATCTTAATTCTATATCAGATTGTTTACTAACTATCCATGTTCATGTTCAAATAGGAATAATTGTTGACAGTTCTTGTTATGTGAAAAATATCCAAACTATCGCGTGTAGAATTTGACTTTATCGTATGACATGAAGGTAACATGAAGGTAATAATAATAATACAGTGATGTAACCTATTTTCGTGGATATAAGGATTCAACACCAAATTTCGTCAAAGTTAAAAAAACGAAAAAAAAAATTTATGTCTTAGATGTTTCCTCAGATATTCTACAAAATAATTAAAATTGGTTTATTTCGATTTTCACTTTGACCCATATTTCATGAGCAACCAACTCCGCAACGGCGGCAGAATGCGTCACCTATTTTCGTGTACAATGTTTGATCTATAAACAAGTCTAGAAAAACACGTTGTATGGATACCGGGTGGTATAATTAACTTCTCTTAATATTTATCTTCAATATCAATTCATTATAACTAGTGACAATTCCTTCAAAGAACCACGATTTAAAAAAGAATAGAGACTGACAAAATATAATACGTAGCGTCATTTATTGCTAAGTCACTGAAACACCATAAGAATATGGTCCACTTTGTGTTCGATAGAAATTTTCTGCTGACACGGAATCCGCTAGTGGATCACGTGACTTCATTCGTTGGACTACATTCTAGCAGACGACACTTGGAATTCCGATTACCGCTTGGGATTATAAGGAAATTGGGCCGATAAAAAATGGTGACGTTTGGTAATAAGTGAAATCCGCCATTTTGTATTTGTCAAAATATACATTTATACATTTTACCTTGCTTGAAACTACTGGATTCATTCTACTAGCTGATATTGTAGAGAAAACCCATGTTTATTAATGCGGAGGTCACACAAGGTCGCTCATGTAAATTATTAATCCTTTCCGGAAATCCACGAATAATAGGCTTCCACGAAATTAGGTTACTCGACTGTAATAATAATGCTCACTCTTTATTAGGGTAAGAAATTAGGCTGAATTAAGTTATTTCCCCTCATGAATATAAGTGAGTAGCCTACTATGCCCTGTAAATTTCAGCTTTGGGGAAACATTTAAAATTGAATGCCTCTACGGTCTCATTGGAAGGAAATGAACAAGATTTGGGTGATATAGGCCTACAGTGGTATTTAACCTATAGGCTAGGTCTATGCATGCATATAAGGATTCAACACCGAATTTTGTCAAAGTTAAAAAACGCAAATTTTTGGTTTATGTCTTAGAAGTTTCCTCAGATATTCTACAAAATAATTTAAATTAGTTTGTTTCAATTTTCTTTATGAATCACTTTGGCCCATATTTCATGAGTAACCAACTCGACAATGGCGGCAAAATGCGTCACCTATTTTCATGTACAATATTTGATCTATAAATAAGTCGAGAAAAACCTGTTATATGGATACCCAGTGGTATAATTAACGTTTCTTAGTATTTATCTTTAATAGGAATTTATTATAACTGATGACAGTTCCTTCAAAGGACAATGATTTAAAAAAAAATTAGTGACTGACAAAATATAAGATTAGTAAAACGTAAGAGTGATTTATTGCTAAAAGTCATTGAAACTACATAAGAATTTGATCCACATTGTGTTCCATAGAATTTTTTCACGTGACGTCGTTGGTGGAAATTCGGCGGAAAAATTGTGATATTTGGTAATAACTGAAATCCGCCATTTTGTTTATGTCAAAGTATACATTAATACATTTGCTTGAAACTACTGGATTCATTCTACTAGCTGACAGTGTGCAGACAACCCATGTTTATCAAAAAAAGCAAATGCAGAGGTCACATGTAAATTATTAATCATTTCCGTGGAGATTCAAGAAAAGTAGGTAAGCAGGAAATTAGTTTACCGGTACTCGACTGTAATTATGCAATTGTGGTTGTAAATAATTTCTTTTGGATGTTTTGTTCACTTTCAGTAATAGGCCTAATGCTCATATGGCATAATTCCTAAACTAAGGCATATGTTTGAGTTTTGATTTTTTCTGACATGTCCATAACAAAGTCAATTTGGATATTATGAATATTTCAGCTTTTCATGCTACCATACTGAAGGGATAAAAAATTTAGTTTGATTTGATGCTATTTTGAAAAGGTTGTCTATGGTCTAGTCTATTTAAAATTTTAGTTTTCACCACTTGGTGTTGTTGGTTTGAGTCTTTCCATTCCATAAGCTTACTCCAGAAGATCCTAATGTTTTGTTTAGGCCTATGAGCCATAATGAATTTGCGGATGTAAGAGACAGTTTTCTCCCTTTCCATCATGGTGTCAAGTAACAAACGAAAATTCAGTTTGGATAAAAATAAGACTAGAAATAAGTTAAGTAGACTCTGGATCGTCGTCAGAAGAGAAGGGTGACTCAAGTGAAGGCAGCGATGATGCATCGAAGTGATGAAGAATTAGTATCAACGTTGCTAGTGTGAATTACATAGCTGTTGACAGCTCTAATGAAGAAATCGAAAGTTGGCCTAATAATCCGGTTGAATGGAAATCGGAGAAAGTCGACAATAAGCCTGTATGGTTGTGAGCTAGATAACCTGAATGAAGACAGCTCTGCTCTGGAAATTTTGGAAAAAAATATTATATGGGTTTATGCACTTGTTTTTGAAAACACTTTGAATTTTTTTGCTTGTAAACACTCAAGAAGGCACAATTCCGGGCGTATTCAGATGAAACTTAGTGAAATCTTTATCCTCCTAGGATGAACAATATTAAAAAACAGTGAAAATCAGATATTTTCAGAAAATATTTAATACGAGTTATTATTCTTTTTTGATGGTATTTGCTGTCAAGTTTTATTATTTCTTCCATTATTTGTCAACTTTTCTTGTGAACAGGATAAAGACTTTTATCTGATTGAAATGAAACTTGGTGTGATGATTTATATTGTTGAGATCTTGGACTAGTTTGAATTTGATTTTTTTTTCTTGTTTGAAGGTTTTCGAGTTATTGCCCCTGACTTATTAAAAAAGACACGTCAAAATCTGTTTGTGAGCACAATAGAAGCTACAATTTTAAATCGATTTCAACTTGGGGTGATCATTGGAATTGAGGTTCTTGAGTAAGGAAATGATTGTTTTTGCAATGCACGTTTGGAATCTTGACAGATTAACCATTATGATTTATGCTGCTCTTAATTGAATCTAACTATTAAACACATTTGCTCTGTGGGTGTTTGGTCATCCTTGAAATAGGATGTTCTAATTAAGTATTATTGCCCTTGATTTGATGATATCTTTGTCATTATGAACATCTTCAAGGGGAATTTCGCTTTTTTTGTAAAACATTTTCATTATCAAAAACATCGTAAATTATACCTGAAAATATTCTAAAATATGCTAATTTTATCTGTGTATCTACTTGATCAAACTGAATTTGTTTTAAAAGGGTTAATTTAAAACAGAGTACTAATTGTTAATTAAGCAGTTTGACCTAGTTTCGGTGATCGTCTTTATAATGGCTCGTTATATTCAGTTAAAATCTTTAGAAAATATGGAGATATATTTCTCTACAATTATGCATTTATTTTATTCAAATTCGTACAGTAGTTGTCTAACAGCTTGCAAAAGTGATAACAAACTTTAAAAGTTTACATAAACTTTTAGGTAAAGCTTTGGTGTTAAAAGTTAACCCCTGGATTTTTTCAGTTAAAATTTTCAGATACGTTATGGGATACATTTCTATAGATTTTGGTTTATGTTTCTATGTCTGGCAAGCTATCTTTGCCAAGGATTTCAACTATGTAAACTAGGATCCTCTTACCAGCTGGTTTTTGGATAATAAATGAATAAAGGGGAAAGATTAAGATTGGATTATTGAACATATGAAGGAAATGAATGAATGAAACATAGTGACAAGCAGGTTACTGTATCAAAGGCTCAATGATATCTGACTTGTGAACACTTGATAAGTCGAATACCACCAAACATGGTGACAAGAGTAACGGTCTACTGTACGAAAGGTCCAATGATGTCGGACTCGTACAAACTTGATTAATTTACGACTTCTGGCAACAGGCTATTGTATCAAAGGTTCAATGATACCAAACTCTTAAGCACTTGACAAATCTAAACTTATGGCAACTGTCTTCTGTATCAAAGGTTCAATGGTGTCAGACTCATAAAAACTTGATATATCCAGCTATCCAACTATTGACACCTGCTTTAATTGAATTAAAATGTTTATTTTCAGCCGTTAGGTCTGCGGGAACTCAATAGCTGTCTTTACTATTGGGTTTGACATACACCACACACAGTTAGATGATCAACGTAGCACGGTTAGTATACAAAGTTTTATAAATTCCACTTTGGCGTCACAAATGTCTATCAGTCTGTGAAAACTTCAGAAGGCACGATTCTTGATGGATTTTGAAAACTTGGTGTTTTTATTATCTTTCATGGATTGACACTATTGAAGATCAAAAATATGAGTTATTGCCCTTGTGTTCGAAGTGTTCAATTGTAGCTTGTAATTACTTAAGAGAACAGATTTATACCAAATTATCAATATTTGAAAGACAAAATAGTGCAGAAAAAATGTATGACGAATTGTTGAATATTGACACGGTGATTGTTACTATTTTTCGAAATATTTTAATTTGAAAATAAAGCTGCCAGTGGTCATATATTACCTTGTCAGGAAAGCTTTCTTTGATTAATTACAGTATCTATTAATTGAGCTTTATACTGTAAAACCTGATTTCCCCTTGTTAATGGAGGCAGGGGCGGACATGGAGAAAGATTCTAGTCGTTTGGATGTGACAGTAAACCGGTGTGCTACAGACTGTGTATGTTAAAAATCCTTTGACAGTTCAAAATCTAAAAAAAGCAGGTTAATGACTATTGAAATCCATGTATGTCCAGAATGATCTGTGTTAGAAAGATGATTGCCATTTATTGAAAAGAAATATATAGAAAAAGAAATGCCCAGCTATTTTTGAAGGAATATGCATACATATCTAGCACTTCTGAAGACTATTTGCATATATTCAAGACCAAAATCAACCCCCGAAATAAAATAAAAATTCCTGTTGTTGCTCTTCCAGGGTTCCAAGAACAAAGTAGCTGGTCTTTGGCTACAACAGGACATTAGGTCAATTAGGTTATGGTGGAGCACAAATGTCCCAAAGGCGACTCTTGGAACAAAGCTAGGTAAGGATATTTGAAATATTTCATATGGTATTATATAGCAATACGAGTCAAATTGTTTAAACTGTATTTTTCAAAGTAAGAAAGGAATGTGAAAAGGATTTCCAGGATTTTATAATGTGTGTCTATTTGCACCATTTTAGTTTTCAAGCTAAAAAGTGGCTTTCATATGTGGCCAAAGGTAACAAATTTTGAATTGAATTATTTAAAACTTAGAATGTTTTATAGGGATTTTAAAAAATTTTCATAGGTATCGGGAAGACTGATAGAATCAATTTGCACAATTTCAATTTTCAATCAGACTTTTGTTGTTCCCCAATATCTTGACACAATCCCTTTTATTGTTGGTAAATCTGCTGTTGTATGAACTGTTTTTGAATTGTCCTTAATTCAAAAAAAATGACAACATTTTTATAAACTTGGTATTGATATGTTTGAAATATTTATAATTTTAGGTGTAAACAGATAGAGCTTCACTACATGGAATTAAAGTGCTTATGGTGTGGCACAGAAGTTCGCAAGGCAAGTGTGTAATGCGTAAAGCTATTCTTATCCCTGACCATTTAGACTCCTCGATCCTTTGCCTAGCTAAAAGAAATTTATGCTTGAAGGGGATAACAACTGGGTAACTGTGTAAACTGCAATAAGGTGCTGTGAGCTCAAATCTTCTTTAAGGTTTATAAACTTATGATGCCACACCTGCTTCTTCTTCCAAAATCAAAGCTGTGTCAACTTTAAATATCACCTAGATGTCACTTGGTACCATTGACTTATCAGTACAAGGAGAAATATAAAAGAAAAATTAAAGAAGGGTTAGAGTGGCCAAGGTCTTTAGAATTAAACCAAACCAAATAAGCTGTTTGACCGGTCAACAAAACTGAATGAATATCTTCATTCAATGAAATTTTTTATTTATGAAGATTGACAATATTTATTTGTGCTTGACTTTAAAGAAAAAATTAAGTATATTTTGTGTCTGATATTTAGGTTAGAAAAGGTAAATCGTCTGGTAATTTACCTTCCCGCAATAGCACTGCCACAATAGGAGTGTTCTGAGGTCATGGCCTGTATGACTCTTCAGACCTCCTATTCACAGATGAAGAGGAACAGATGAAGAACAGATGAAGAGGAACAGATGAAGAGGAACAGATTGGGCGATTCCTCCACCCATTTTTTGTAAGTTTATCATAGATCGTGATGTTTTGAAATTATAGTACCATGATATTATTAGCTGTGTGAATTTTCAGAAATATATATCATTTGCAATAATTCAGTGGATTCAGTCCAGAATATGTCCTCAGATACAAAATTATATGGTATTTTGACTCAATACAATGTTTGTCTTTTGTTTTTTTTTCAGCCGTCGGCGGGAACTCGATAGCGGTCTTTACTATTGGGTTTGACATACACCACTTACAGTTAGATGATCAACATAGCACGGTCAGTACCTACCTACATATTTCAATTTAAATCACAATTCCTGTTCTGTGAAATTTTGTGAAACCCAGCCTGAAAAATTCTTGTTCATTTTCTGTATCCCTTGAAGGTGCACTGGAGCATTAATCTTGAAAACTGAACTTACGATGATTTTGGTGTTCCAGTCATCTGATTGATCTCTTAAAATTGATTGCAAGAACAAGCCCCCTGCTGTGGAATGAAAAAGCAAAAACTACCATGGGATCTTTCTCTCTGAAATGGGTGCATATTTGATAATTCCTTGGCAGAGGGGTGTTACAAGAGGCATGACTTGCCTGGCTAATGACAGATACCACAGTAAAAAGCTTTAATTCAAAAAGCAATTTAGTCTCGGACGCAAGAGCTTAAAACTAATCAATTCAAGAGTGACCTTTGAAAATTGATTGTCCATGAGCAGAGATATTGGCCAAATGATGTTATTCACATTTGATATACATAATTAAAGAGGTAGTTTTCAAGATTTTCCTTACCAGGTTACTTTTAGATAGCTTTAATGTTAAAGAATTACCAGAAAGATTTTTTTGTTTTAAACTTCCAGATAAGGCAATAGATAAATTCCTCTAATCTGTGGTCTAAAGTATTGATTACTATTTGCACGTAACTATCCAAACCTACTTTAAAAATAATAATCATTACTTTTAGGGTTCCAAGAACAAAGGGGCTAGTCTTTAGCTTCAACAGGACATTACTTTTGGAGGTCAATACGGTTATGGTGGAGCACAAGTGTCCTAAAGGCGACTCTTGGAACGAAGTCAGGTAAGGATATTTTAATAGCTATCTTGGATATGATGTTGCTATCCGTGTCATTATAAACACACTATAAATGTTACATTTAGCAACATAAGATTATTTTTTGAAAAACCTTACAACACACACCCAAGTTTTTATATGTGTCCTTACATTCACCTTTGTATATTATCATAAGATTCTTCTCGCTGGTCTTCGGTCAGATCTATTGAAATTGATCTCATGACCACCATTGTTTGGACTTAACTAAACAAGTCTCCTGTAAAGTTTCCGAAGCTCTAATACGCTTGTTACTGAGTAACAGACTGTTCCATAGAATCCATCAACTGTTTGGATTTATGTATTTGTTGAATTATTTCATTTGTGCCATATCAAAGAATTAAGTTGTATATTTTTAATTTTAGGTGTTAACAGATAGAGCTTCATTATATAGAAGTCAAGTGCTTATGGTGTGGCACAGAAGCTCGCAAGGCAAGTTTGTTTGAGAAGTATTTAATCTGTAATTTTAAACCATTTTGATATTCTTAATTTGAAATATCTTGCAACACTATGATACAGTTTTGTGAATCGTGATATTTTTGTTCAAAAATAAACAAATACATGGTATTTATATGAGTAATCAGCCAATAAAGACCCTATAGAATGATGACGCCAAATTGTGATCTCTAATTTAAGGGTCTCTCACACATTGTTTTTGTTTTTAAAAAAATTACTTAAAATGGTAGTCATCTAATTATTTGCAATTATGTATTTATATTTTTCAGGTTAGAAAGGGCAAATCGTCTGGTAATTTACCTACCCGCAATAGCACTGCCACAATAGGAGTGTTCTGAGGTCATTGCCTGTATGACTTTTCAGACCTTCTATCCACAGATGAAGAGGAACAGATGAAGAGCAACAGATGAAGAGGAACAGATTGGGCGATTCCTCCACCCATTTTTTGTAAGTTTATCATAGATCGTGATGTTTGGAAATTATAGTACCATGATGTTATTAGCTGTGTGAATTTTCAGAAATATATATCAATTTGCAAAAATTCAGTGGATTCAATATTCCATGGCTCAATATCCATGCCCAATAAACCAGAAATAAATAGAATATGTCCTCAAATACAAAATTATATGGTATTTTGACTCAATACAGTGTTTGTCTTTTGTTTTTTTCAGCCGTCGGCGGGAACTCGATAGCGGTCTTTACTATTGGGTTTGACATACACCACTTACAGTTAGATGATCAACATAGCACGGTCAGTACCTACCTACATATTTCAATTTAAATCACAATTCCTGTTCAGTGAAATTTTGTGAAACCCAGCCTGAAAAATTCTTGTTCATTTTCTGTATCCCTTGAAGCTGTACTGGAGCATTAATCTTGAGAACTGAACTTACGATGATTTTGGTGTTCCAATCATCTGATTTATCTCTTAAAATCGATTTCAAGAACAAACCCCCTGCTGTGGAATGAAAAAGCAAAAACTACCATGGGATCTTTCTCTCTGAAATGGGTGCATATTTGATAATTCCATTGGCAGGGGGTGTTACAAGAGGCATGACTTGCCTGGCTAATGACAGATACCACAGTAAAAAGCTTTGATTCAAAAAGTCATTTAGTCTCGGACGCAAGAGCTTAAAACTAATCAATTCAAGAGTGACCTTTGAAAATTGATTGTCCATGAGAAGAGATATTGGCCAAATGATGTTATTCACATTTGATATACATAATTAAAGAGGTAGTTTTCAAGATTTTCCTTACCAGGCTATTTTTAGATAACTTTAATGTTGAAGAATTAACAGAAAGATTTCTTTGCTTAAAACTTCCAGATAAGGCAATAGATATATTCCTCTAATCTGTAGTCTAAAGTATTTATTAATATTTGCACATAACTTTCCAAACCTACCTTTAAAATGAGAATCATTACTTTTAGGGTTCCAAGAACAAAGGGGCTGGTCTTTAGCTTCAACAGGACATTACATTTGGAGGTCAATATGGTTATGGTGGAGCACAAATGTCCTAAAGGCGACTCTTGTAACGAAGCCAGGTAAGGATATTTTAATAGCTATCTTGGATATGATGTTGCTATCCAAGTCATTATAAACACACTGTAAATATTACATTTAGCAACATAAGATTATATTTTGGAAAACCTTACAACACAAACCCAAATTTTTATATGTGTCTTTACATTCACCTTTGTATATTATCATAAGATTCTACTAGCTGGTCTTCGGTCAGATCTATTGAAATTGATCTCATGACCACCATTGTTTGGACTTAACTAAACAAGTCTCCTGTAAAGTTTCCGAAGCTCTAATACGCTTGTTACTGAGTAACGGACTGTTCCATAGAATCCATCAACTGTTTGGATTTATGTATTTGTTGAATTATTTCATTTGTGCCATATCAAATAATTAAGTTGTAAATTTTTAATTTTAGGTGTAAACAGATAGAGCTTCATTATACAGAAGTCAAGTGCTTATGGTGTGGCACAGAAGCTCGCAAGGCAAGTTTGTTTTAGAAGTATTTAATCTGTAATTTTAAACCATTTTGATATTCTTAATTTGAAATATCTTGCCACACTCTGATACAGTTTTGTGAATCATGATATTTTTGTTCAAAAATAAACAAATACATGGTATTTATATGAGTAATCAGTCAATCAAGCCCCTATAGAATGATGACGCCAAATTGTGATCTCTACTTTAAAGGTATTACATAGTCTCTCACACATTGTTTTTAAAAAATTACTTAAAATGGTAGTCATCTAATCATTTGCAATTATGTATTTATATTTTTCAGGTTAGAAAAGGTAAATCGTCTGGTAATTTACCTACCCGTAATAGCACTGCCACAATAGGAGTGTTCTGAGGTCATGGCCTGTATGACTTTTCAGACCTCTTATCCACAGATGAAGAGGAACAGATGAAGAGGAACAGAAGAGAACAGATGAAGCGGCGCCTACAGAACAGATGAAGAACAGAAAGAAGTATGAATAACATGTGAAGAATGCTGATAAAAAGATCAACAGATGAAAAGAGGGACCTCCAACGAATACTCAATAATAAGAACCAAGTCTACAGATGAAAAGCCATGGGTATGTTACAAGGGACTTAGTGAACATTGTCATCTTAAATTTTGAAATGAAAACATAATACTTAAACGACATTTGGAAATGAGGCGTACATATAACAGAACAAGGCAATATTATGGATTTAACATATTTCTTTAATAAACTAATTAAACAGATTAAACGTTTCAAACAATGTGTTGTCATCAGAATAAAAAACCTAACAAAACATATTACAACTAAGAATGATAAAGAGATTAACAGTGTAAAGGGTAATAAAAGTAATACTGAGAAGTCTAAATAAGAGAACATGGTTACCATTTATACATTTTGTTATGTTTTTTTTCCATCATTATTTCATCTGATGATGGCACATGTAAACCGTGCTGAAAAGTTGATTGCCATGTATTTAATTAGTTTATCAAAGTAGTGTGCTTATTTCATAATATTGCCTTGTGTTTTGTACAAAGCTGACTTGGCTCTTCTACAACTGAATTATAATTATGGTTATATGATTGACTGGCATTTTCCAAAATGAAAATCTTGCATTTAGTTCTTCTACCATTCAAGGCTGTGCCCGCATATGCACATCAGTAATGACTTAGTTTCAAAGGAATACTACCTTTTAGAATGAACATAAAAATTAAATTCTCAAATTTAGCCTATAATGTATGCATTCATCAGTGGAGTGAAAGTTTAGAACTTGAAAATAGATGCAACCCGGTTTTTCTAACTCGGTGCTTCTTTGTTAGTCTCCCCAAAGTGCAAAGTGGGTCTTTTGGAAATTGCCAAGAAATACTGGCTTTTGTTCAGATGTTGTCGCTTCAAAGTTGGAATCCAAAAAAGTGATATTAGCAAGATGCCATAGGAAAATCTATGAATGTTGTTCAATAATTACATAGAGTAATAATTACCAATGCATTTATCTGCTGTTTATTTTAAGAGGAAATATTTCTTTGAAAAAAAAACAAGTTGCGTTAAAATAAGTAGTTGCGTTGACTAATGAATATTTGAGCTATGGCTTATTTACATAATTCCTTTTTTATTTCAGCTGAAGAGCTCACAAGAAGATGGTGTTTCTGCATTTGGTTTTTCTGCATTGATGAGGTGTTTCTGCATTGATTAGGTGTTTTTGCATTGATTTGGTGTTTCTGCATTATTAGTTCTGCTTTCAGCGACTGGTTTTTACTGGTGCCTTTAGAATTGACTTTTTCCTTGCGCTAGAATAAGTCATCTTTCCTCAGTATTCTATTTGACTCAGCTGTAAATGGGTATGGATAATCTGAGTAAAATCATTGCCAAGAAATTTGGTCAAGGAACAGCTGTTAGACAGGATCTTGTGAACCTAAGCTGTCCTTGTAAAAAATCTTTCTTTCTATCTATCAGTAGGCTAACTAATCTTTCTGCAACCGAGTTCTCGGCCATGTTTATCAAAAAAATCTCAATCAATATTTGTCTAAGTATGGTATTTTTCAGTGTAAAATTCCACACTTACGATAGATTTCTATTGTAAGATTTTTTGAGAAACGGTCCACGTATTTCTGCTTCCATTTGGTGTTTCTGCACCTTTTACTAGATACCAGTCAATCATAGATTACCTTTCCACTACCTTTCAACAAGAATTGCCATGATACAAAGACCATCAGCAATTATTTCGATGTTTGCTTAATGGCTTTCATTTCTTCTTTATTCAGCTGTATTTGTTCGTATGTCTGTATTTTGATTTGGGGTATTTTGCTATGTACAGCTTTGGAAGTTCAGGTCAAAGTTGGCAGTTACGGTCAAAGTGAGTGTATGAGGTCTAATGTCAAAGATGGTGGTTGGGATCAAAGGTCAATGATAGTTGTTGGGGTCAAAGGGCAAGGATGGTGGTTGAGGTCAAAGGTCAAGGATGGTGGTTGAGGTCAAGGGTCAAAGTTGATATATGAGCTCAAGGGTCAAAGTTTATATTTGAGTTCAAAGGTCAAAGTTAGTGTTCGAGTTCAGGGGTCAAAGTTGGTAGTTGAAGTCAAAGTTATCTTTTCAGGTTATGGGAGTATAGATGAAGGGAGGGTTATCAGATGAGAAGAAGCATGCATGCAGATAAAGAAACCGCAGGTATGTCATCTAAATATTTTCATTTTACCAGCCTATAGAAATGAAATGGCGTCATACTTGCAATTGTGTTAAATGAGGGAAATTCTTAAGGATATAAGGATTTAAATTTCCACCAGTCAAGGATGTGAACAGCTTTAGCACACAGAGCCTTAGTTTATTGTCTCTAGACCCTTTTTCATACCGACGCATCTGACTTGACATCATTGACAGGGGTTGAGAACTTCAAAGGTATTGCCTCAACCTTTCTGAAAGTGAAGCAGACAAACATCAAACTCACGGAGCCACAGCTGCTTCCTGCCAGCTGATAAAGCCAACCATGGCACTTTTTCAATATTTTTGAGGTAATTTTTTTTATATTTTTTTTTTCAGATAATGGTGGAAAGATTAATAGTTTTCATTTTTTGTTTTTTGGGTGTCTGCTTTTTTTTGTTTTGGCTTTCTGCTGTAGTTTGTTCAGGTGTGTGCTGTTTTGTCCATGACTTTTGTTTAGTTGTGTTGGTTTTAGTTTTTTTGGATCATACTGGTAGGTTTAGAAGTTTGGTTAGTTTCTATTTCAATTGGGGAAGGGGGAGTGTAATGATGTTTTTCTATTTCAGTAATTGGTATTTTTATAATCAAGAAATAAAAGATTCTCTGTTGGCTTGTGGATATGTGGGATTGGCATTCTTTCTGGAACTTGGTCTTGAGGTTAAGTATTATTTTTAGCCTTTTTTCTACATGTTTTATGATTTTCAGATATGGGTTTTTTTGTGTCGAGGGATGTTCGGATGGGACAAAATACCCATACCATATGTGATACAGTCTGAGCACTCAACAGTGTAAAATCCCAAAAAACAGAAAGATGGTTTATGATTTAATTTGTAAATTAGAAATCTTGCATACTGACCCCTTAATATATATGGTATTTTAATTATTATTAGATTACTTTTTGGTTTATTGAGATAAGAAGATAACAGTGTATGGTGTCAGATAATGGTGTTGGTGTATGGTGTCACATAATTGTGTTGGAATATAGTATCGGATAATGGTGTTGGAGTTTGGTTTTAGATAATGGTGTTAGAATATGGTGTCAGATAATGGTGTTGGAGTATGGTTTCAGATAATATTGTTTTTATGATCTAAAAGGGTGAAGAAGATAAGTTTGAATCTTAAAATATCTGGAATTATTTTTAAATAACAGAACGCTAGCCTAATGTAGATTGGAATCTTTAGAGGCATTGATTAGGTTTTGATTGACCGACCTGAAATTGATTTCATCGCACAGTCTCTTTTTTGAGTTTGAGATTCGACATCGAAAAATGTAAAAATGGCTTCAGAAGTACTAGAACTGTACATCATTTGCAAATATACCTCAAACTAGAAAATATACCTCAAACTAGAAAATTCAAAGTGCCCTTGTTAATCTAATGTTTTTTTTTCTATTGCAGATATTGGTGATATAGATAATATAGTTTTAGGGTAGGCAGGGTGAAATCCTGCAGGGAGCTCATCGTCCCTGTCCTGCCGAGATGGATTGATTGGTGTGAAGGGCAAGAAATTTGGAACGATCTCTAAGAGCATGTAAAACAGAAGTAAGTTATCCTTTGAAAGGATAACAAATGGATTAGCAGGTCTTGGGAAAACCTTCAGATGATAACATTTGACCAAAATCTACTTTACCAAACATATGACGTCATGTAAAGTTTCTGATGCTCTTACCAGTTGTGCTACAGCCTGTCCTTGAACCTCATTGCTTTTGCAGCAATGGGGTCATAACTTAAGACTTGATTTCTCATCGTCGGATGCAGGGTAGATCGGCATGGAAAAATTGTTTAGTTCTTTTCATTGGGTAATCAACTTAGGTCCTGTTTGCTACACCTTAAGGATCCCTTCAGAGTAAGAGCTATCCTGGCAAAATTTCCCTCGTACACCACAGAGCAGGGAAGTTTTTCAAGGCGAAAAGTCAAGCTGGCTATGAAACATTTAGGATGAGCAGTAAAATTCTGTTGTGATTTTCAGATATGGGTTGATATGAATGAAACAGTTTTTACTGAGAATATATCTGGTTGTCAAGATAGCTTCGTCCAGGTCAACTAGCTGCTGTTTGTATTCAGGTATTGTATTAGTTAAATACTCAGTTTTCTTTCTTGTTTTTCGTAACAGAGATCTTACAATCTTTTATTGAGACTATTACATCTGATATTGTAGTCTAAAAGTCGGTTTACAGAGCATGTTTTACAAATAAAGGCATATACATGTAATGGGTTAATTATGTTATGTTCTGAAGGACAATTGGAGAAACACATTCAAATAAAAATGTATCCAATTATTATTGTTCAATAAATGTGTATAGAGCTATTAGTAAAGATTTCTATTATTATTTTTCAGTCAAACTTACACTGAGTGTTAATGCTAAAGTTATAGAAACAATAGATATATAGATAGATGATATAGAGAGTCTTGTAGTTATATACTGATGAAAGAAAGAGAATGAATGAAATTAGAGATTGTCCAAGATATTGGATTGTATTGATAACGCGTTATGACATTTAAGATCGCTTTGATTACGGAACGATTGAAATAATGCTGTAAATGTTTTTCGACATTTGTATCAAGGTCAGATTGTGTGGAACCATCATGCAGCAATAATATTAGATTAGAATGGTCTCAAGCTACATTGGCTATGTCTTTGACTGTTATAATTGTAAGAATGTTACTTGTTTTTTTGGCTTTACTGACTGCAGTTTGGTAAATGGACCCAACTTTTTGTTTTGTAAACTTCGTAAAGGGGACACACATAGCATCATAAACCACACAAGTCAGACTAAAAAGTGGAGTGGAGAAAAATAGATGTTTTCAGTGTAACACAACAAGTTTGCAACGCCACAATACAATTTTTTGGGAGGATTTTGGCTCATATGTCACATCTGAACGACAGATTGCATGATTTTGGCCAGAGCTTTTTGGCTGAGCCCTCAAATTATGGTTGCCATGACCCCTGGAGTCATAGATAAAAAATATATATTACTTTCTCTTCCAAAATAGCTTCAGATGTATTCTCCGGCTTCCTACAATTTTCTGGGGGAGACTGGAGATACTGAAGTGTGTAATGAAGGAAATTTTGACGGAAAAATCTTAATTTCTTTGCATATGTTTTTTTTGTCAGCATTTGTTGATTTTCTAGGTTAAATTTGAATGTCGTCTGGCAGTATACCAGGCTCTACATCCTTCAGATCGGTGCTATGGAAAAAAAAATCGACTGATGCTATGTCTTGTGAAGCTAAGAAGAAATGCCACAGTTCCAGAACAATTTATGTTCTAAGGGAGAAAACTCAATTTAACTTTGATTAAAGAAGTTTAATATACATTTTCTATTGACTTTTTGAATCATACAGTTGAGCCCCCCTTAAAAAAATTGCCCCCCTCCCCTGGGACCCCGAGCTAGCTACGGGCCTGAAAGAAGGTCGTAAAACTCCATTCATTTCATGTTTCATTTTTGAATAGGTTACAATACATTCCCATTTTATTTGGTCGTAAGCACTAAAACAAGAATCTTTTACCTTTTAGAAACATGAAATCCGATTTTTAATTTAACTCTGAACATATAAACTGACAGACAAAAGAAAGTTTTCACTTTAAAAATCGTTGTATAAAAAGCAAAAAAGCTGGTACAGGTTTGAACCCCAGCAGCAAACATTTGCCTTAATGCAACGTTATCATGAGCACAATGCAGTTTATAGAACGCAACTCTCCAAATCGTGCATGCATAAAAAACATTGCAAAGACATTGGTCCAAATGCACGTGCACGATTTCGGTATAAATACCGAAATTGGACAGGATAGGCATTCAGTAAGGGAAAAACCACCAAAAGTCTGCCGAGACTTGCGCTAGAGCAATTTGATAATCCGGCTTCAACAGATAGGACAGAACCAAGGCCGACCAAGATCGGGAAGATCGAGGGTGACAACACCGGCCGACTACCGCTACATCCGGAGGATTCATGGAACAGGATTCCTGTTGACGTTATCCGCCGCTGACGACGTCAATGAGGAGGCGTGTGTTTGCGCGCATGTTTGCCCACAGTGGCCAAACTCGTTATTAATGACGTTTTCCTCACTGCTGTCATGGAATAATCTCTTTATGAACTTTCGCGATGAACTTTGGTTTGTGTAATTTTTAATTTTGACCCCTTGACTCTTCCTTTGTGTATTGCGGAGAATTGAAAATCAGTATTACAATGCATTTTCATTCTAATTCTAGGAAATTGATTTCTGTTTATAAATCAATCATCATATATCTCACATATGCCTTTGTCTTTGGTGTGTGGCCAAATGAAGTCGGTGAAAACTTTCTTTTGCCTGTCAGTTTACTTTAACTACTTTAACTATTTTAAACTATATCCAATTTTAATGGAACTATATGTATAGAAAATAGGTTTTTATGTACAGGCCGTATTCGTCAATCATCTGTTATATAAAAACACAATTTCTCATTAGAAAGACCAAAAGCAAACAGTAGCGACTCCGGTCTCCTTGAACGTAGGGTAAAAGCAAAAGGTGGGAGGACTCTTGGGGTTGAAATTCCAAGTCGAGGGTGTAAGGGGTTAAATTCCACACCCCTAGAAAAAAAAATTAATTTTCTGAGACACTTAGGGCGATTGGCGAATGTAACGAAATAACACATTTCTTAGAAACCAAATGGGTGTGCAATAGGGGAAACAAACTATTTTTATGATGGTCGTTTGCTCTATCCACTTCGCTTCCGACTTAAATACTCATGAATCATCAAAACTACAACTACTCAGACACATTAATTTATATACATAATATTTTATACAATCCATTTTAAGAAATAGAAATGTTAAAACGGAACCTTAAAAAAACACACGATCTTCAGACAACTGACCTATTTTCGGCGTGCGTTCCTACAGAAGATGGACAAATAGAATTCTCATGCCTACACTTCGAGACGAATCCATTTGGGTTGTAATTAAAAAGATTTCATCTAAATTGTCGGATTAAAGGTTTGATTATAGACCGAGAATTCTAAGGTTCGTTGAATCCTACTGATAATTCTGCATGGTTTAGGGCAAAATTCAGTTTGGTAAGCACCCTAAATATTTTGAATTTCGGGTTAACATAAAAAATTAATTGAATTTATACATCACAATGTCACAAATTTGTAGTCAAAAAGTTAGAATGATATAATGCTATTTAATTTTTTTTACTGAGGTGCTGAACATTTAAGGCGATCACCATAAAGTTTGAAGAAAATCAGTTTTGATAAGTTTTACGTGGTTAAACCATGATTTTAGGCAATTGCAGTAAAAATGTGGACAGAGGTTCAGTCAGTTTACGGCAAGCCCGATTACATCATTCGGGTTTTCTTGGCAATTATCGGAAAAACCTCGGTCTTGAATTAACGAGCCTGTCTATCCAATAACGGAATATATCAGTAATCCCGTTTGAAATTACTCGGGATTTCTCGGTTGTTTTCGGAAGGACCTCTGTCTTGAATACATGGTCGAGCTTTCCAATCCGTTTGCGGAAAATATCAATAGTCCCGATTACAATCTCGGGATTTCTTGGAAAGCTTTGTATTGCTGCTTAGACCTCTGTCTTGAATTAAATGATGAGCTCATCATTACTGTTTGCGGAAAATACCAGAAAATCCCGATTACATGAAGGCTCCAGAACGCAACTAAATAAATCATTATGACCTTCTTAAATAGAGTTCCGTACCTTTAATGACAATTCCATCTATCTCACTTTGTTCCGTTCACACAGGTGTTGTATTCAGCCCTTTGCACTCTATCTAGTGCAATTACTGCAAGTCTCTCGGAATTTGCAAGACGTACATTGTGAAGTGCCCTTTCTAACGGAAATAAACCTTGTCTGTCTTAGTATTTTTAGAACTGTAAGCGTCCAACATGTCGACAAAAAGACGTGAACTATTGAGGATTTGTGCAGTTAGTCAAAAATCTGAGGTACTCGGAATACAAGTTTAAGCGCAGTAGTGAACATAAGGAATTATTTAATCAGAAAAGTGTTACGTTTATCGTGCAAAGTCTTGACATTTTAAAGGGAATTTCACACAAGCCAGTAAAACAATCTGCAATCAAATTACTCCTCGATCCAACTTTTACCAACTGACATAGGACATCTCTTCTAGTTCAAATTCGGCTTTATTTTTATCTTTTTTTTATTTTCATAAAACAATACTACAAAGTTGTTAGTTGTGTTATTTTATAGATAGTCCGAGATGCCATAATTATATCAAAGGCTCCTACTCGAAATTGTTCAAATGAAACAAAAACGACTTTACAAATTGACTTAGATAATGGGCGACACACAATATTAGTCTAGATTACGGATTACATTGTTATTAAAATTATACCATTTGACCATCTCTTGATTCATTTGATCAATTCTGCACGTGCCAGATGAAGAGGATGATTTTGTTACAGAACGAATTCTGTGTATTTAACGTTAATAACGGTAAGATATTGAAAACATCCCTGGACCTTTTTTAAGAATTTTGTCTAATAAAATTTTTCTTGAATTCATTCACTATTATAACAAATTCAGTAATATTTTCAATTCCACAAAAGCAAAGTCCGAAACATTCTGTACTTTTTCGTTCATAATCCGAAGCGTGCTTATCTTATTCTTCCTAATTGTTGTCATTTCATTTTCATTCATTTATTCAGTCACTCATAGTCATTCTTTATTCCTTCATTCATTTATTCATTCATTCATTTATTCAATCGGATTTTTGTATTTAAATAAAGTGCCACCAACATGAAATAAGCCATTGTCAATACGGGTCGAGACGTTGCCCTGCATCTTCACAATATCAAGCTCTTACGAATTGTCTTAAATGATTGGTGCTGTGAACCTTCTTTGATAATTCTCTTCCCCTACATATCCCCTCCTCCCAATTATTTCTTAATACTAATAACTGCCCAGAAATCCAATCCGAAAATGTCTAAACTCTTGACTGGAAAATGTCTAGAGTATGTTCATGTTTATATTTTTATCACAGTAAACACATTCGTAGACCAACATTACTATTTTGAACCTTACATTTATAGAAA